AATACCTAGAACACTAGCCACTATCTGTGATTGGATTGAGTATACGTACATAAGCACGATGGCTCTCCAGCGCATGTCGATTGAGTAGGTCATTCTAAACTGCTCTGTGGAGTGCTTAATATCGAATGGCTGGGAAATTTATAGCCATTCGAGACTTTTCCCAGCTTGAGACTAGTCTCTTGGGTCCTTTCAAGGGATCGACGGTTTAAACGTGATTAGCTGATAAATTGCGCAAACCCTGATTTAATTGGATAAAATATTTTTTATCTAAGAAGTATCAGGATAATTCGCTGGTAGACTCCCTACTAAAACAGATGAGTAAACCTAACCTTTGCACTTGGAGGTGAGTTTTTTGTTGCCCGTTTTGCCAAAAGAGTTGAAAGACACAATACATGTAGTAGTACTACCTCCGCTCCGAAAAAGCACTCGGGTCCTCGGGCTACCATAATTGTGAATATGAAAGTCGTGAAGAGGAGGACACCATCACAGCGAGCTTGCCGTGATGATGTCGCGTTTGCGCACAATAAGCCTGATGTCTATCGAAGAGCTGCTAAACACGTCGGAAGAGAAAACTCACACTGAGTTGGTTACAAAATTTGTAACCTGTGTCAAACAAAATGATACTTACTAGAGTTATCGAGATAATCGAGCTTAAAGTTGACCAATTGATTTTCGCACTTAATCGAAACTGTGACATTTATTGTAAACTTTCATCGAAAAAACTGTAAAAGGCACCCTTATTTAATTTCTTTTAGCAAGGGCTTTTAAATAACACTTGAATCTCTAAAATTGAAAAAAAATATTGAGCTCACAGCACTCCTAAATGTATCGTCATTTCGAGGGCCCATAAATGGAGATAATATTTTTGAGCGACCACAACTTCTTCAGTTTTGAGCATTCTGTAGCTAATAAGATAGAGGAGACGCCCCGGCCTCCAACCTCCTTAATACTAGTACAGTAGTACATGTAAGAGATATCACTATTCGGGATACCACTCCTAATAAGAGGATTGTCTGTAACCGATTCAAATTGATGTGGATAAGAAAAGGCTGACTAAACTATATTAGAGTTCCAAAAAGCAATGCGACGCCCAGGACCACCCACCGCTCGATGGTATTAACGGCGACGGCTGCGCTATCCATCGTAGTCGCAGACGCGCCTCCAAGAGAATTTGGTCCTGATCCTGATTGCGATGCTGGAATCTCTTCTGTCGACGGCGCTAACGGATCGTCCTGATCGACCTGGCCGACCTCGCCGGCATCGGAGCCAGAGGCCGAAGTGCTATTCACTATGTCTGGGCTGTAATTGGGCGGGTGAACGGTGCCCACCGCATACTTTGAGGGTGTAACATCTTCATTGTCACTGCTATCGGTTCCTCCATCTGAGTCATCCGTTTCCGCCGCAGGTGCCGACTTCGGAGCTGCAGCACCAACGATCGGAGGTCCGGCCTTATCCACAGGGGCCAATGTCGATGGGATTATCGGTGCCGGAGTCGGACCTGGTGCAGGTGCAGGTGCAGGTGCCGGAGTGGGTCTCGGTGTCGGGGACGGCGTTGGGGCTGGTGCAGGTGCCGGGGCCGGTGCCACTGTCACCGGAGCAATAGGCATTTGGGCTGCAGGAACAGCACCACTCGAAGTTACCTCCACCTCAAAGCAGGTTGAATACGCTGCACCGAAGTACCCCTTCGCCTGCGTCTGATCGATGTATGCAGCTTGGTCGTCCAGCCAAAACGTCCAATACCAGACCAAGCTGTAGACACCCGGGGCAGTTCCTGCCGGCACGACAAACGAGCCGATGCACGGCTTGCCATCACCTGCGCGGCTGCTAGGGGCGCCATTGATATCGACGGTCTCACCGCAGTTACCGTCATCGTAGTTCATGGTATGTCCGCCCAGCAAGTTTTCAGGCTTCATATCAAGCGTAGACGTGAGCGATGTGCCCACCTGACCTGTCCAGTAGACACCGTGCTGCGTGCCGACACCCTTCTTGTCCTTAACGATATGGCCATTCGGCAGATACGCGAAGTACGCCGTCTGACCCGGCGCCACTGAAACCCGTTTCCGCCAGTCCGAGTACGTGTTAGCGCCAACGTTCTGGCACACGGGTGTTCCGGCCTCGACCTCGTTCTTCAGCATTTTGTACGTGTATCCGGTGCCAATGTCGATATCACCGCGACCCGGGTAGCCCGCCCCATAGCCTCCGCAGAATCCGTTTCCGCCGGCACCGCCAAAAATGTAGGATGCACTTTGATCGTAGATTTTGGACCGGTCGGTGTCGATGCAGTCTATCCAGGAGTGCGCCTCAGTATTATGCGACATCATTGAGAGTAAGAGAGGCGCCAAGGCCATTGTTGAGGATGCAATGGTGACCATGGCTATCGCTTAGCTTGTGGCTGTATCGCCGCGCAGCGAGCCGTGACCAAGACTCGAGAGTTTACAGAGTGAGACCTTTTCCACCAACATTTTTGAGAGTGATTGGTCTGGTTTATAGGAACGGCACAGAGAAAAGCTGGGGAGCAGAAGAAAAGCTGGGAATTTCTCCGTCTGTAATTTGCGGGACAAGCTGGTCTGGATCGGCCCTGAATCATTAGAGAATCAGGGCGTTCAGTACTGTACAGTACCGTGTCCTGTTCTCAATAAAGTACTTATTAAAATAGAACAGGTATTATTATTAATAATCAGAAGGGGTACTGCGTTCAGAAAACGTACAAAACACCTGTTTGAAGTTTTCAAAAGTACCCTTGTACCGGTATGGGTATTGCTGTACATGTTTTTGTAAAAGCAGGTATTTGAAATTGTGTCCAGGAGTAAATAGGATATGCCCGATGGGGGTTGTTCGGCCACATTCTTCGGCGACAAGACATCCCGGCATATCTCCAGGTGATGCCGCCGACTAGCCTACGCGAACACGTAATACCTTACCTTACTTTTACCACCGGTACATTGTACCGGTATTCACACTGCGAATTTGGCAGCGGGAGTATCCGCCATGTGTGCAGTGTACAGTACATGTAATTCTCTTTCGTCTGCAATTTTCAAATCCCAGATGGCATCGACTCGAATTTCGAGTCTCGAAAATAAAGGTATCGGTGTATTATTAGTAGGCATGTCCGCTGCGGGTGTATTTTCAAAATCGTGCCCATTTGACCGAAAAGAGAGAACTCTGAGAATTTGATAAGGGAAGTGCTGATTATTCTTTCTTTTCTTACATGTACGGTATGTGTATGCACTCTTTTTCAGGTAATCTCTTATCAGGGGCTAATGGAAACCAAATATCACATGATGGTTTTGAAAGTAATAGTACTTTTTCGATTTTAAATATTAATTGGAACTCTTTTTTGAAAAATTAACAAAGTAATTTAAATTAACTCGTAAATTTGAAAAAATATTAGATACTAGATGATATTTATAATATTGTCCCGCTTAAGTACGTTTCTTGATACCTTACCCTCTGTAAACCGAGAGAGCTCATTCGGTCAGATCAGTAGGCTTTAATACTGACGAGTATTTGCTCTAGTATTTCACTGTGACACAGACAAAGGCGATCGAGATGGAAAACTGCAAACGCTTTCGGCTGTTTAATGTCGATAGAGCGAAATCAAGGTATCTGTTCGTGTTCTCCACCGATAGCCTCGTTCACATCGCGTGTCAAATAAACCCGCAGCCTGTAACGCTAGATTAATGTGCTCAGCAGTGCCAACACAGGACGCCAACCTTGCCCCTGTTGAAGGGGCAGCTATCGCACGTAGAGTAGAAGGACTTGTCGAAGGGTTGGTGAAAGAAAGAGTGAGCACTAATGAGCAGCTAGAAGAAAGCTAAGCTAGAAGACTCTATACTGCTGCCTAAAACGCACTACATGTTGGTCATTGTCAGCCGTTTCAGAAAGGCAAGTTGCCCTTATTATAATGCATATTATGTTTTATATGAGTCGTGCGTTAGAGACGAGTCTAACTTCAACAGCCTCCCTGGCTCGTCGCTTACCGCTGTCCGGTCCGGACGTCTTTAGGTATAATCGCGGTGAAACCGTTACATCGAAAGTTGCCCCTTTTTGTGTTGCATAAGAAATCCAGCTCTGTGTATCTAGGCAAGTCTTTTCATACCACATGGCCACCAGCACTTGTCGTGCGTTCTGCAGACCTCGTGCCCACGCCTGCATGCATGCGCTCATTTCCACTTTTGACATCGCAGTTAAGTTTGAATAAACTGTTCTTTTGCCTTTACTTGCTTGTGTGTGCGTTTAGGTTGTATTGGGGTTGCTTTAGCCCTGAAAAGTCATGGCGCGTACCATGCAGGTGGACAAGATGTCAGGTGGAGTCAAGAGCTCAGGCCAGCAGCAGGTGAAGGTCAGCGCCAAAACTTCAACGGAGCAGCTGGTACAGATCAGGCCCAGGACACCGCCCAAGGTGCAGCAGGTGCAGGTCAGCTATAACGATACCGCCAGAGGAACAGGCTGAAGCTGAGACTTGGCCCGTGGCATACCTCTCGGACCGCAAGGATACGGCGAAAGGTACCAAGTACCAAGTCGTCTGGAGGAAGCCTGATGGCTACAAGGGGACGGAGAGCTGGGACCCCACATGGGAGCCGAAGGATTCGCTCAAGGAGGACAGCATTGGCTAAGCAATGCTTGTGGTGGATGTGTGGGTGCTGGCTGGGCGTCCGGACAACTTTCTGCAGTGGGCGAGAAAGGCAGTTCCGACGCTTATTGGTGCCAACGTGAGCGGGACCTGCTTGTTCAACGCGCTGCAGCAAGCTGTGCAGCTACTGGGTGAGCCATCAGCAGTGCCGGACGCCGAAGTGGATTGATTTCTTGCTGATGCTGATAAGCGTGGATCTGATTTTTCTCGCGGCGTCCGCTGGAAGGTACTCAAGGCGTTTCTGTCCCAGCTGGAGCGTGCTGGATTGCGCATTTAGCTCAAGGACCTTAAGTACAACCGGCAGCGTACTGGACACAGTGGCATTGCGGGCATCAAGCGTCTGAAGCTCGAAGATGGATTCTAGATTGTGACTGCCAGCAACACCATGGGCGTCGGGCACGCGCTCGTCCTGGAGGTGCAGGGTCACAAGTACACTGCTCATGATGAGTCGATCAAGGGCAGCTAGGAGCAATATGGCGAGTGGATCAATCGCCTTATGTTTGTGCGTAAGGTAGCTCTGGAGGCTTAAGCAGATTATACATTTGCTTCTTTTGACTTTGTCATTCATTTTCACATTAATATTGTTATTCGGTGGCTGTGTACCAGGGAAACCTCAGTGAGGGTAAAACCTATAGAATACAGTGGGTATACCTATTGTAGGGATAACCCAACACTATCCTGTGACTCATTGATATTGTGAAATGAATATGTATTAGACCGTGTTTATTGATTTATCTATTTGCTAATTCACTAAGTGATCGCATTCCTAGTTGTCTTCTTAAATTCCGGAGCTGATGCTTGTCAAGTGACTTGGTAAAGGTGTCTGCTATCATTGACTTAGTGTTGCAGTAGGTGACGCTGAATTCGTGTCGTTCTACCTTTTCCTGAACAAAATGGTACCGGATGTCAATATGCTTTGATCATCCGTGCTACTAGCGATTTTAATGCAGCTTTAATTGTCCTCGTTGATAACAATGGCTTTGGTTGTCAAGAAACCTAGCTCTTTGAGTAGCAGTTTGAGAAAGATGACCTCTTGCATACAATGGCATAAGACAATGTACTCAGCCTCTGTAGTCGAAAGCACGACAGTATGGTGCTTCCTCGAAATCCATGAGATGGGACTTGTCCCGATCATTGTGACGTATCCGCCAACCGACCTTCTCGTGTCAGGACAATTAGCATAGTCAGAGTATGTGTAGGCTGTCAACTGATCGGCTAGGTTACTAGCATCAACTGACGTTGATCCACCAAGTAGCAGACCTTGGTCAGTCGTGCCAGATAGATATTGTATGCCTCTTACCACTGCTTTCCAATGTTCCTTTCCAGGGTTTACTAGGAATTGGCTGACTTCGCGCATGTAGCATGCTAGATCGGGGCGAGTGCCAGCCATGTGGTACATTAGACTGTCTACAACTTCTCTGTATGGAATGTCTTTCATTGCCTCTTTCTCTTCTTGGGTCGGAGGCTCCATGGCTTTCGTGAGCTTGATGCTGCGATCTGAGGGCGTCGCAGTAGGGTACGAAATGAGATGTTTATACTTGTCAAGGACATTTGTGGCATACTTTTGCTGGTGGATACATATCGTTCGGACTCACGGTTCCGTTCAATAGACCAGCCGAGGATGTACTTCACCTCCCCTAAATCTGGCATTGAAAATCTTTGTTTCAGGGCGGCGAATGACGTGGGGAGGCTTCTGGCAGTAGCTGCACACCTGCTCAGACGACACGGGATATGCCGGAGCTTGGGCTGGAGCAATGAGAGCTTGCTCACCCTTAGTAGTGCGGCTCTCGGGGGGTATCCTTCGCCAGAGTGTAGCGCGTCTCGGCCTCCATTTTGCGGATCTTGTCCTCGATGCTCGTCTTGAGCTCGTCATACGGGATGTACTTGTGGTTACCTTTCCAAATACGCAGGTCGTCCTTCCAGGACGCTGGCATAGTGTGGAATAGGTAGACAGACTTCTGGCCGTCTGTGAGGCCCGATTCGGTCGCCTTGGACGGGGCTCTAATCGCGTCTTCTAGAACGAGGAAGAACTCGTTCACATCACTGCCTTCCTCGTACTTGGTCTTCATGAGAAAGTGCAGGATATAGTACGGGTCGCCATGGAATGCGGCACCCTCGTACGTCTTGCAAATGGCTTGGAAGATGTCATTGGCCATGGTGAGGTTCTTGACCAGACGAATGTGCGTGTCGTCCATTGTCTTCATCAGGAACGACTTGGTCTATGACTCCATGCGACAAAGACGGATGGACGACAGCGGCACGCGCTTCTCCTTTTTGACTCGGTGCTGCACCTTGCGCTGCGAGAACGAGCGGATTGGCGACGGCGCCTTGGGCTTCTTGCTGGTCTTGGCATCTTCTTCGCTGCCGGATTCTGCTTCTTCATCTTCTTCTTCGGGGGTTGGCTCGTAGTTGACGGACTCGGAGTTGTATTCGACTGGAGGCGAGGTCTTGGGTGAATCCTCGACATCGGACCTCTCGCTGTCGGACGAGTCTTCGTCATCTTCTTCGCTGCTTAACCTGTCGTAGTCTTTCTTCGTGACGAAACCGAGTAGATGCTTCCCATCAAGAGATGCCGTCACTCGGGTCTGCCACACGTCGTAATTCCTTGAGCCGGAAAGTCGAGGAAAGTCGTCAGTTGAGGCTTGGCTGGGGCCTTATGACCTGTTGAAGGGGCAGCTTTCGCACGTAGAGTAGAAGGACTTGTCGAAGGGTTGATGAAAGATAGAGTGAGCATTAATGAGCAGCTAGAAGAAAGCTAAGCTAGAAGACTCTATACTGCTGCCTAAAACACACTACAGGTTGGCCATTGCCAACCGTTTCAGAAAGGCAAGTTGCCCTTATTATAATGCATATTATGTTTTATATGACTCGTGCGTTAGAGACGAGTCTAACTTCAACAGCCCCGGACTTCATGTTGATTAGTAATACCTCAGCTAGTCGAACGTTAACGACATCTGATTGGTGGATTTAAACAGATTACGCTTTCTTTGAGAAATAAAATATCGTCTTAATTAATATTATGTTGATATTTAATGAGTATCATGTGTCTCGGTCGTATGGGGTCCGGACCCAAGTCACTATCAAATTTGTGATCTAACCAAAATATGTGTTTCCTGTTACTTCCCCCGTCACATTCGAACAGACGCAGTCAAGATGGCTAAGCAATCTGGCACCTCTCTTCGCTCGGCAGCAGCAGCTTCTTTAGCAGAAAGTATACACTCACCAATGGATGACAGCGCAATTCAAGTGCAAATCGAAGCGAGTGAACGCTCAACGTTCCAGGCCACGTTGGAGACCCGCCCTACTAATACCAAGAGGAAGTACGGTGGCTACCAGAAAGAATTCAGTGCATGGTGCACTGCCAAGAAAGTTTGCGATGGTGCCACCGTCACGAAGGGGAAACTGCACCTCTTCCTGACTGAGCAAGTTGTAGGGAGAGAATCTAAGAAGAAGAAAGGCTGCACTGTTGGAGGATCGACTGTCTGTGGGTACACAAATGCTGTTGTAGATTTATACAATCAACAAGTCGCGCTGCGTATCAACTCGAACGAGCACCCGCGGTCTGTCCAAGTGAAACAGCTGATTAGAAATGTGCAAGCTCAGACCACTCAAACGAAGAAGAAGAATTATCAAGATCGGGGTGTCGGCTCACTTCTAGACGGCTACCATTCTGAATTGCAATTCCAACATATTTGCGATGCATTTTTGCAGCTTGATAACCTCCGTGGGCGTGCAGCCTTTTTGCTATCTCACTACGGATTACTTCGGGGCGAGAATGTACGCGACTTGGAATTGGCTGATATGTTTTCGCAGCCGCTTGATAATGAAGGTTTACAGCCCTGCATAGCTCTTGTTTTGCTAATTCAACATGGTAAAACAAACACGTACGGGAAACTTCAACACGTCGGCTTTATGCGAAACAAAAACGTACACTTGTGTCCAATTGGTGCTGTCTCATTTTAGTTGTTCGAGCGCTTTCACGTCCTCTTAGAACCACTTCCCTCGTTTGAGCGGTCTAGAGACTGGTATGACATTAAATTTTTAAGTGGCAAGAATCGGGTCAAGTCAATCTCGTACGATACGCATAAGAAAAGCTACGAAGCTGTTTTCAAGCTACTAGGGTTGACATTCAACAAGAAAACACACATCAACAGACAACAGGGCGTAAGGCAACTAGAAAGTGCTGATGTCGACGTCTTACAAACTCGACGCCATGGACGATGGGGAATGGATACGGTGGAAGCCGTCTACTCGGCTCCTTTGGCCCGTGAAGCCATCCGTGCTCTATCAGGCCATCCTGCAAAAGCTCGTATTTACTATTTGTCACGCGCGACAGTCGATCCTCCTGAAGAGCTGCTGCTAAATATTTTTCCGGGTCTACGTCGAGAGTACTTTCTGGAGAATGGGAGCAAAACTTGGCTGCTCGAGGGTTCATTGAATTACTGGAGTATTTACGTGTAGTACTGATTCAAGATGCAGCTGTACTGTTTCAGAACCTACCTACTACACCTTTGCCAGGTCAAGATGGTGCTACTCCACTTCAAAGTGGTGAAGTAACTAAACCTTTTTAAAAATTATTCTCAATTTTTACATTAGAGTTTATGTCACTTCACAAATATGTCGAGTAAACGCACTCCGTACTTCAAAGTGGTTTATTCGCAGTTCAAAGCGGATCAACCCTCCTGAGCGTGTGCGCGAGCACTTCATTGCCATTCCTCGCTCTCTCTTATCAATCTTTTACCAAGCCCTCAACCAAGCCAAGCCTCTACCTACCCCAAGATGCCCAGAGCCCCGCACCTCGCATTTGCCAGAGCTCGTGTCCTCGACTGCCTCCGTGTCGGCGGTGACTGGACGCTTGTGGCCGCCCACAACGGAATCCCCGCCACCACATCACGTCGATTTGTGGAAGCAAACGGAAGCACACGTCGCTGAACGAGCCGACTTGGTACTTGTACGGCTGGCTCCGTACTCTTCAATATGTAACCCCATTCAAGGTACGCAGTATACTGTATTACTATATTTTTTTAAATGGCATACTAACCGACTTTTGAACTGGTGCTACAGGGTGTATTAGTGCTTTTAAGGCCAAGATCAAGGCCGACCTTGCCTTGCCCCGTAAAGGGCTGGTTGTGGAGCATCCTCGCGGGACGGTTGCGGCTGCTCGGATGGAGAAACTGGAACGCGCGGCGAGACGCCGCATCGGAATATATCGACACGCACCTTGCTAACAGGTTGACACTGCATTGCCAGCATTCCGTTGCTGCCGCGGAGCGCATGGAAGACATGCAGTACGGCACCTAGCTGCAGCTCAGCCTGAGGGGACCACTTTGCTCTGCGTTTTCGCCACTTTGAATTTCCTTTTTAGTGCTACTTTTTCGTAATCAAATTTTTGTTTTCATTTTTTTAAAAAAATCCGGTTTGAAGTGGAGTAGCACCATCTTGGCCTGGCAAAGGTGTAGAATACAGCAACATCAATTATTTGGTGACCGTTTTCAGCAGTATCGAGCTCAACTTTTGGCTGCCATCCATTCAGCTCAGGACCCCATCGAATCGCAACTTCAAGTAGCATTGCCTCTCTTATCTGAACAAATTAAAACCCAACACGCAGCAGTCATGGATAAAGTAGAAGCAAGGCATCTTGATGTGATGAAGCAAGTACAGCAGATGCAAGGACAGCTCACCTCATTCCTTCACGGCGAC